GGTTCCTAGGATCGTTCAGAGAAGGTGTATGTGCATTGGGGTATGCTCTTGATTGTTTGAGTCCCATTTGTAGGCCTGGAACAGTTTAGCACATACAAGAGCAAGTGTCAGGAACATTTTGATATCTACAAAGAATGCAAGAAAAAGGAGGTAAAGTTCATTCTTTTTAAATGGTACTAGAAGTTTGCTACGCGCGCGTTGCCGCGCGATGGGTTATTATTTTGGACTTGTTCATTGTTGTCGAAAAAATAACTATTCTATATTACTCTTGCAGCTGAAGCATATTTGTTACATCTATAATTTTACATTGGTTCCAAGAGACATGGGCTTGCAAGGATGTATTTTACAAAGTTGTACAATATAAACAAACAGGTGTCGATCGGGTTCCCTTGCCAAAATACATGCCCTCGTCCTCATGTGTCAACTGATGTATTTTCAAAAGTCGACTGCCATGTAAGAGTCCTCAATACCCTTTTCTGCCCGAGTGGTTCTACTATGCTTCTGTACACTATTGATAAACATGGATGATGTTGTACACTATAAACACGTAGAGCTTGACTTAGAACTGGTTCACCTGAAAGAAAAATGGAAGTGTAAGGGGGTGTCATGTATGTCAGCGCTCAGTAGGGAAGATATATTTTGCGACGTCTTACCTGGTTCGTTGTTTCTTTCCTCCTAGGCGCTTGTGTTTGCATATTCGGCCGTGTCCGAGTGCTTTTCGGGCATGAAGGTGCTCATGACATCCTCGGTTGACAACAACTCAACCGCTGGCCTGTTAGTTTAGGATGTAAGAACCATATGGATAACACATTTAAGGAGATGTGATGCATGTGTTCTTTTGCTTGCAAACTGCCAGAAGAAATGTATTTTTGAACAAAGCAGTGTGGCAATACAAATACCTTTTTGATTTTTTGTCCAAGGATGGAGCTATTGTTGCATCAGAAGTATGCGTGAAGGGAACCTGTGGTCTGAAAGAGTTGGAAACAGTTGAAAAGTGTCAAAATTGGTCTAGTAAGAATAGTTAACCAAACACAATCATAGAAGTACGAAACCATTTTTCAGTTTACCCGTCTTCCAAGACTTGTTGACGGATGTCCGGGTCAAGCATGCATGACTCTTTTGATCTTCCATTAAGGCAATAATGCAGAGGCACACCTAAAGTCGATAGCTCAAACCGCACAGAAGACGGGGGCCTGCAATTGTATAGCATTTCCTGAAAGCGAATGTATGAGAGTAAACACTTGGTATTGGAATAAGCCAGTTTAGCTAAGAAATGTAGTGCAATGCGTACATTGACATCATAAAGATGTTCTGGGTCAACCGATGGGCTTGGTAAGTTGGCTTCCACAACTGAAGCACAATCTGTGCACTTAATTGCATACTTGAACATGTATCTTACGATTCTTCTTTGGTGAAAGATTCCAACATCAACGTGAGCTTCAAACCTGGCTGATGAGTTCCTAGTGCAAGGAATTAGATTACCAATATGTGCAACCATTGGCCTGAGTAAACATATTTTAGTTACCCTCTGCAAAATTGAAAATCTTCCGAATAAACAGTAGTAAAAAGTATCCAATGGAAAGTAATGTGTATATACAAAATTAGTTAAGAGCTTCAAATTGATTTGAAAAAGTTATACTATGGGATACCGACAGTGTATGTGGCGGGAATCGCGTTTTGATCGTGGATACAACTGTCGCTTCAATTGTAGACAGCTCAACCATCTTTTGGATTGATGCCGGTCGACTTGGTAAACTATTAAGATTGGATACAAATGCAATGAATTCAAACATTAACTATATATCACTTGAAGAGACATGAATACTCTGCAAGTGTAAAAGCAAGATAAAGGATTTCTCCAATAATGTTCATAAATAAAAAGGAAAGCATTTCACAAAGAATGACTATTAGGAGCTAAGCTACATATATGGTCTAGTGGATAGCATGGTAAAAGTGAGTTGCAAATGCAGTACTGACTCATGCTTTTGTGACTTGGATTTCAGATCGACACCAAGGCTCATGGTCGGGACAATCAGTTTCATCAAAGATGGAAAGTAGTTGTAATCTTTTTGTTAAAAAATCTCACATACCTTGGTAGTAGGTCATAGTGGTGCAGCCAAATCAAGATGTAGGCATGGGGTGACCCGCGTTTCTCGAACTCCATACAAAAGATGACTGCGTGAAAGAGAATAAAAATCAGCATATATATGCATGGATAAGGGGGATATGAGTGTTGTAGAGGCTGCAACTAACTGGCAAGGGTTTTGCCGTAGCGAGAAAAGATCACTTGTTTCAAGGCTTGAACCTTTTCTCTAAAGATACGGGAAACAATTGTGGGTTTATCCCCGTAATGTTTGCCTGATGAGTCTGTAAAAGCTGAGGCTATCTCAGGCCATTGGAGATCGCACGCAAGTGATGAAGAGATCAGGGTTCCCACAGTAACGATATATCATTGTTGCATCTTCATGTACATGAATCATGGAGTCTGACCTGTCAGTATAAGTAGCCTGGTCTGGCCATCTCATATCATAAATAACAGTACACCAAGCTAATACAACGAATAGAAAAACCTCGGATGCAGTATATATAAGAAGCTCAACAAACTAAAAGAAGAATGCATAAATCAAACTCACCCGAATATGTTGTGTAAACATGATATAACATGTATAACTAAGCAGCAACCAACAGGTTCACCTCTTTATACAAAAGGAAAATACAACTCAGGAAGCAACAAAACAGTACCTGAACTGTAGCAGGGGAACCTTGAAGGGTGGCTATGGAGTTTTGACTAATGGATGGCCCGATGAGAGAGAGTGAGAAGTGGAGATTAGTTGAATCTATAGAAGTAAAGAATAAAGGAAACAAACTGAAAAATGAATATAAGGACATCATGTAACTTGTACGTATGAGATAGATATAGTTTGATTAAGGGAGCATATAGTATATATATAATGACAATATGTAAACATAATTTCATAGTAGTGTATATAGGACGAACTGGAGCCAGGGAGAGGAAGGTATAGAGCACAAAATAGGGCTCTATTAAACCGTGTGCATCACTGGTCAACTAATTTATTCCTCTGTTTGTTTTCATTTCAAGCTAGTTGTTTTTGAAGAAGACATGTATAGAAAGCGGTACAACTTATTATTAGCGTCCTCTAATAAAGACGACATGGACATGTACATCTATAATATGGGTATATAATAATTATCAGTACAGTAGTTGAAGAGGAGGAAGAATAATCAGTAATCACAACCTTAAGTTGAAATTGGAGGACTTACAGAGTGAGGAACACAATTAAGCAGAGAAGTGAACTGAGGTCTCATTGCAACAAAAACATCTATTTATTGACGTGAAGGAAATGAATTACCACCACGTGACCTGAATGTTTTCACTTAACTTTCACAATGGAAAGAAAATGTGTTAGAATGCTAGAAGGATGAGTAAGCACAATCTTAGCTAAGGGACACTTCAAAGTTGTTGTAATGATGAATCAGATAACTACCAAGTCTTCTAGCATAAATTGGGATAATCACAAAAAAGAATTTAGAACGGATAGAACTATACATAACATAACAAACCTCATATGGAAAATTTTAGAACATATAATCGCAAAGAAAAAATTTCGGAACAAAGTAGAATCATACAGAACAAACCTTGCTACCTACGATGGGCAATCAATCATCATGACATTCGTTGTCTTCCCCTTCCACAATTCTCACATAGCGACAAAGTTCAGCCTACATTAAACTTCACCTCAATTTTGATCGACCTGGAATCCCCGACCACCGGTTGAAACGTCAACGACCGAAAGTATTATGCACAACTACCTCAGCTACATCTCCCTTCCTCTGCTGCTTCTTTGGCATTTCCCAGTTCTTGTTGGTAAATCCAAATCCATAACTTCCAGAGATCTCATATTTTGTCTCTCTCTGTGTTGCTTCTTCTCTCTCTTTTCATTTAAAATTGTTATGTCAATTCTGCCGCATGACCGCTCGCTGGCTCCATCTCAATGCAACTTTGACATAAGCTACGTATCTCCTTAATCTCTGAAGTCGGCAAATACAACCCATTGCTTCCCATTGTGATACTCAGGAGTTGGGAGTCGACGTTTTAAACAGGAGGTGAGTGGGCTGGTTGATCGATTTCCCTAAATATTTGGTAGGGAGACATTGAATCTGACCTAATTGATTTATCATATTCTTTTACCTTAAGGGTTCAATGTTGGAGATGCTGATGGTGCCGAAGAAGGATAAAATGATTGAGAATGGGAATTAGACTTTCCTGGATGGAGAATAAGGAGATGACATTGAATTAGAATCAAGTTCGCTGACGGGGAAGGGCTGAGGGACTGTGCGGCGATGGCTGTCGGTGGGAGGAAGAAGAAACCCGACAGTTGTGGTGGAGCAAAATCAAAACGACATTAGCAGTGAAAAACTTGAAAATAGCCAAATCATGCGGGGGCATTACTGGTACTTTGGACACGTGTCAGCTCCCTGGCTCTTCTGGGCTTCCAACCCGGCTTTTATATATAGTCTTTAATTGTAAAACTTCCCAAGAGCTGCTTGTTCTCATGACTCTGCATCTTCTTTTCTCGACCATGGTAGAGGGAAGCTCGGCTAGAACGCAACAAGACACGGTCTTTCTTTTCTTAAGGGGATTGGCAAACTGCTGCACGATTCATTTTTTGGTTACTCTGGTGTTGTGAGACATAGTTAGCGATTATGAACACTCTAGGCAGAGGCGTGAACTACATTTTTTTACAGCTTTACAAGCAACATAAGATCGTTTCATCATTTTAGGCATAGAGAGAATCTCCATATTGTTGAGTGTTGATCTTGTTCCTATGTAAATCATCACAGAATAGTCAGAACTGATTTGCACTTTGTTGTGGGAAAAATAAAAGAGCATGCAGTTCAAGAATAATGAGCTTTGATGCTGTGTATCTTAATGTTTGGAGAAAGTAAACCAAGGGTTCGAACTTGGGCTTTTAGGCCTCTGCATACGAATCACACACAACATTGATGCAGCCACAAACGAGCTGATTCTCCGGGATGTACCAGACGAGGCAATCCTGGTGGAGAAGATCAACAACAAAATTCCAGGGTTGGGTTTGCAGTTAGATGCATCAGAAGTATTCAGAAGTAAACCTGCACTACAAGAACATGTAAGCAAACCATAATGGTGTTTGTGAAAACTATTCGCTTTATAGGTATGACTTGGAGGTACAGGATTCATACGAGCACCTCCTCCTGGATGTCGTAGATGATGAAAACCATCTGTTCATGATAAGTAATGAACTTGCAGCTCCACAGTGCATTCTGTCATATTTTTTTCGTACAATCTCACTTACTAATTAACCAATTTTTTTGTGCAAACTTGTAAGTTCAGTTAACTATTCACACAATTTCTTTAATAACTTACTAGTATTCGTTGCCCGCGCTCTGCATCGGGATGAGTGAATTTTTTTGGTTTACTGTGTTTAGTCGGAACTGGATTTGACAAAAAAACCTCCCTATCAATCCGATGTGTCAGATTTCAGTATCATAAACCAAAGTATAGCCAAACCTCGGGTATTTTATCAACCATATGTTCTCAAGTTTGCAAGGGAAACCATCCTCATTAACATTATTGATAGCCGATGGATCATAGATCAAAGATTCTTGTCTAAAAAAGCAGTTCAAAGTTCAAACATCTGGCAACATAAGGTTCATGGCATGCCATACAAACACCATGATAAAAACTGGTACCACCAAACTCAGGTTGTTCATCCTCACTCAACTGTACAAATAGAAAGACATGCACACATCACACTGCCTTGCACAAAGATGCGTGCACCTTGGTAAAACAAAAACAACCACTAAATCTATTGTTATATGGGAACAACAAACAGAACTAAAGGAAACATAAATTATAAAGAAACACGCTATGAAACTTCAATCCTCTAGGGCGCTACTTTTTGCAGGGATTGGACGATCATGACTGACCTCGCTCTCTCTCACAGTGAGACAGTATTTTCACAGAAAAGAGATGAAATAATTATGATGAGAGAAAGTTAGGCATGAACCCTTTACAAAAAAAAAATTACAAAGAAACACGCTATGGAACTTCAATCCTCTGGGGCTCTACTTTTTGCTGGGATTGGACGATCATGACTGGTCTCACTCTCTCTCACAGTGAGCCAGTATTTCCACAGAAAAGAGATGAAACAATTATGATGAGAGAAAGTTAGGCATGAACCCTTTACAAAAAATAAGAAAATTAAACTCGGGTGAGAGAGTGCAATTACCTCGTATAAAAGTACAATATCCGGATTTGAATCTTCTCTGAACCCAGATCTGCATGCCCCTCAACGCAACAATCATTGCTGCAAAAATCGAAGAAACAGAGGATAAATCAGTGATCCTAACTACAATGACCAAGACAAACCTTATGCAAAACAATGGATCCATCCTTTCCCAACTGTGGATCTCACCAGATAAAATCATAGCAGAACATACCCGCCCGAAGAGAAATAAAACATCATTCACAATCCTCGGAGACCAAAGCCTGCCAAAAAGAGATATAGATGAGAGTGAGAACAATTCACCCGAGATGTAGAGAACGATAACTTGAACTTAATAAAGTGATAAAACAAACCGTGTGATAAATAAACAGAAAGAAGGAATTTGCCCAAGAAAAGAAACAAACTAAAACCATTTGATGCGAAAAGAAGGAACACTAGAACAGTCCCCTGAAACAGAAACATAGTATGTGGATATGGGTTTCCTTCGAATCCTCCACCGACCTCTCAAGTTTCAAACTAGTAACTTCATGATAGAACCCGCTGAGCTGAGTTCTATCTAGGGATTAGGGAATTGGGGGTTAACGAGATGATGACCTTGGGAACTAGAATTGGGATGTGAGGAAAGAAGAGATTTTGGGAAGTAGAGGGAAGAGAGAGCAGAAGCTGCTCAGCAGCCAAGAGAGGGAAAGGAAGGGAGGTTCGGCCGAGGGAGAAGGGAAGAGAGAGAGAGTGGAGATTAGGGTTTTGATAGGATTAATCTTGCTTACCTCTTCTACGTAAAACAATAGTTTAAATACCTAAACACAATTACCAATGACTACCCCAACTTATTAATCCCCAAATTATCCCACAATAATCAAAATAAACCTGAACAAAATAATTCAAGCCGAATATAAAACCAAATAATTAAAATGTCTATCATTCTCGTTCCCTTCAAAACAACCTTGTCCCCAAGGTTGTTAGTCTTCCACCGCGTCTTCTTTTCCACTCGCCGCATCTTCCGCCTCATCCTCCCACCTTCCGACCAACATCATCAAATCTGGGCGTGCGCACTTGTGTCCTATCGTGAACCGCTCGTTGCAATTAAAGCACTTTCCCTCCCGCCTCTTCTGCTCGATCTCTGCAGGGGAAAGTCGCACAAATCCCTTAGGTGGTGGCCGCATCCCACCCCTTGCCTCAACTACTGGAGCCGGCCCCGCCGTAGTTCCCCCAGCGCCCACGGTGGCCCCGGCCCCGGCTCCTCCTCGGCCGCCAGTACCACTACTGTTTCTGGTGCCACTGGGATGCGGATAGCGCCCTATGGTGCTCTTCCAGCTCGCGAGCTCCTCTTCCTTATACCCTGCAAGACGAAAAGCAGACTTCAAAGAGTCCGGTTCAAAGACCCGGACGACAGCAACAATCTCTGGCTTCAGGCCGGCCATACACAGGCCCCCCAGCGTGTCCTCGGGCACCCCTCGGCATTGATTACCCAGCTTGAAGAACTCCGCACGGTAATCCGCAACCGTTCCTGTCTGCTCCAGCTTAGCCAGCTGTTCAGGAGCCCACCCCTCCGATTTACCAACTGGTAACGGAGCTCCCCCTGTAACATCGACCATGTAATTAGGGTTTCCGCAGCCCCGTATGACCTCTTCATCCACTCCTACCACTGCAAGGCTTCACCTTCAAAGTAGAAGGATGCCAGATGCGCCTTCCGCTCTTCTGGTATGGGGTGATTTCTGAACCACCTCTCTGTTGCATACAACCAGAGTCCTGCATCTTCCTGACCATTGAATTTTGGAAATTCAATGGTAGGGGGTTGGCTCAAAAGACAATCGCGTCAGCTCCATCATAAGAAGGGTGATACGAACCATACCTGTCGAAGCCTAGCTCCCCTCCCGGGTGGTTCTGGTGAAACTGTGATCCCCTCCCCCGCCCAAAGCTACTCGAGGCACCTCGAGCGGGTGGACTGGTCGCGCTCCCAGCCCTATACGGCCCCTGCCAACCATTCGGGCCATATTGCCTGCTCCCCCATGCTGCGGTTCAAACCGGTTCACCCAATGTCGGCCCGATTGGCCTCGACCCGACCCGGTCGGTCCAACCCGGTGCGACCCGACCCGGTTCACCCAGACTCATCCCGGCCCGAGCCGGTCCAACCAACCATCACCCGGCCCGATCCAACTTGGTTCAGTCAGACCGTGTTCGGTCCGCCCAGTCGGCCCACCGCCTCGGCCCGATCTAGCCAACCAAATCCAGCCCGCTCCTCCTATCGTGGCCCAAAACGCGCGGCCCGACCCAAATCCTGGTTCGAGCCCAAATAATATTCTGTGACAGCCGGGTCGGCCCACGCTGCGTTTTGGCCCGCCATACTAAACTCCTTATCGGCTTGCTCTTGGTCAATGTTCAGCCACCACCCCAGTCCTTTGGGCTCGTGAAGTTGCCCCACTAGGTCAAATCGACCCATCGGCCCAGGTGGCCCATACACAGTCTGCTGGGCCCCGCCGTCGTAGCCGGCCGGGCATCTTGGCCTTACCCTTGCAGGCCGCCACCTTCTCGGCCGTCGACATAGGCAAAAGCCCAGGCCCAGCGCCGCGCCCTAGCTGGCCGTGGCCCGCACGCTCGGGATCCCCCGCCTGGTCGCCCTCGCCCCCGGTCGGCGCCACCATCTCCAGCACCTCGGCTGCCGGCGACAGGTCACCCGCCGCCACCCCGCTAGCCGGCGGCACGTCCGCCGCGACCGGCCCGCTCGCCGCTGTGCCGCCGTCGTCGCCCTTCAGTGGGGATGGTCGCGCGCCGTGAGCACCTCGTCAAACCGCAGCCAGACCCTTCGGGACTCCTCCACCCGCTCACGTCTCTCTGCCAGCCTCTCCAGGCGCTCCGTCTCGAACGCGGCCACCAGACGGTCCAAGGTGACTCGGATCGCCTCTTTCTCCGTCTCGTCTTCCAGCTCCCCGTCCCGCGGGTTCGGGACCCCATGTGCGCCATCACTAGAGGACGGCAGCCCCGTCATTGTCGTACACACGGCCTACTTCTGCGCCGCCTTGGCTGCCTTTTCAGCTGCAGTCATGGACTTTGTCAACACCATCTTGATCGTCTTTGTTTGATCACGAACCCAAGAACGGGGCTCTGATACCAAATGATAGAACCCGCTGAGCTGAGTTCTATCTAGGGATTAGGGAATTGGGGGTCAACGAGATGATGACCTTGGGAACTAGAATTGGGATGTGAGGAAAGAAGAGATTTTGGGAAGTTGAGGGAAGAGAGAGCAGAAGCTGCTCGGCAGCCAAGAGAGGGAAAGGAAGGGAGGTTCGACCGAGAGAGAAGGGAAGAGAGAGAGAGAGTGGAGATTAGGGTTTTGATAATATTAATCTTGCTTACCTCTTCTACGTAAAACAATAGTTTAAATACCTAAACACAATTACCTATGACTACCCCAACTTATTAATCCCCAAATTATCCCACAATAACCAAAATAAATCCGAACAAAATAATTCAAGCCGAACATAAAACCAAATAATTAAAATATCTATCACTTCATCGCTTCGCTCAACTCCCAAGACATCCTCCGCCTAAAAATGAAAACAAAAGAACCTGGAATTGGCTCTAAAAGAAGATAAAGTGAAACAAAATAGTTATTTGAGAAGTAAAGAGCTGCATAGAGATATTCGAGAAGTAAAGAACCGAGATGACTCACTGAGAGCTCGCCGCCTGAATCTCCATGAAGGAAAAAAAGTACAGCAAACTCATGAGAGAGAGAAGGATGAATTAGCAAAATCAAAGACACAACTGGGTATTCCAGATCTTCTCCGGATACTTACCTGATCTCTCAAAGGTGCATCTTAATCGCTTTCAACTACGTCAAACTCAAAAAAGAGAGATGAAAAATATCAACGCAAAGAGAAAACTTTGGGAGAGATAGAGAATTTAGAGTTGAAGAGAGAGCTGGATGGAAAAGGGGAGTAGTGAGTTCTTGATTTGACCATTCCCTCTCTTTGCCAACCACGTTGTTAAGTGGTTTATGTGGTGGAGAACGCTTTGGAACCTCAGTCAAAAAAGGCATCATAGCCCAGCCTCGATTAATTAAAAAGCTGAGGGAAC